GGTCGGAGAAGAATGAGGCCGTGACTGAGGAAGTGAAGGAGATACGGGACATGGTGAAGGGATTAACGAGACAGGTTACAGAGATTGTGAACATGGTGAAGGGATTAACGAGACAGGTTACAGAGATTGTGACCGCCACAGGGGTCACGGCCTACCGGGACAAACCTGGAGGGCCCTATTCACTTCGCTGGGACCGTAGGAACAACGATCCCTGGAGGAGTATCGAGGATAGAAATCCTCAGACGCTGATTGATTATCGTACGAGGGGAAGAGAGAGAGACGATGAATTATGGCGACGTAGGGACGATGAGATAGACCGAGACCACAGAGATCGCGAGCTGTTTGTGCGAGCAAGGAGGCTAGATGATTACCCCCGAAGCCCTCGCTATGAGGCCGATCGGGGTAGAGGCGACTCCCGCGACCGATGGGAGAGGGACGGCGGATACGAGAGATCGGACCGAGATGGATATAGGGACGACAGATACGAGAGGCCGGGTCGAGATGGCTACAGAGGAAGTAGATATGAGAGAGGAGATCGGGACTGGGAACGACAAGATGGGTCACGCGGACGGTTTGAGCGCGGGGGAGATGTGAGAGAGCAGCGCGACGTGACGCGAGGATGGTACAACCGAGGGGATCGACGCGATGAATCACGAGGACGATATGACTCGGGGGACCGCCGGTGTGATTCGCGAGGGCAGTATGAGCAAGGAGGGTCTGGAGGAGACCGGCGCAACGATTCACGCGGTCGGAATGAGAGAGGGGGATATGACGTCTCATCAGAACCATATCCAAAGTCGCCTGACCCCAAGGCGGCCAGGAATTCGATCTCTAGAGGCGCAGACGACAGGGCATCTACTCCCAGGAACTCCTGTAGAGGAGAAGATCATATCAAGAGGGATTGCCCGGACCTCAAACGGGCAATAGAAGAGGGACTTGTCGTGCTTGACRACCGCAAGTACGTCAAGTGGGCAGATGATCAGGGAGATGTATCGATGTTTCCTTCGATGAAGGAGAATGTCGAAGCAAGGAGAATAAAGACGGGTAAAGGAATGGAGCCGGTCAGGAGCCAGAGCATCAAGATAATCTTGGAGGGGGATATCGCGATTACACCCATAAGGGTGGCAGCCACCAAGTCGGCAAGAGGGTCTACATCGAAGAAGACTGACACGGATTACGTGATGACGGAGATGGACGGGCAGCGGGTCGATGGAGAGGAGGTTATCCTTTCGCCGCGAAAGAGGGGAGTGAAGAAGTTCTTAATGAAGAGTTCGCTGGACGAGATTGACACGGTTGAGCCACTGAGGCGGGCCCTTCGACAACCAATGCAGTGTTCTATTCTGGAGTACCTGGCGGCATCGAAGCCGACTCGTGATGAATTACAGATGATCA